ATTTTGTGTTGTCTTGATTTTAGGTCGTTGTGTCGATTCATAGGCTGTGGACAATGTTTTTTTCTCTGCACATACCTAACTCTTAAGCTGACAAATAGTTTTAGAGGTCTGCGTAAATAAACATGGAAGCAAGTCCTTACAACAATCAGACACGAAACGGTCCGTTACGTCGTCTAACCACATAGCAAAACCCAAATTATTGCAAATCTTTTCGTCAAAACTAAAATCTGGCAAACCGATGAGGGTTAATCCGTAACCATCCTCCTTCCGCTATTTCGTTTTGGCTGATTCCTGTGGATTGTAACTGAGTGAAGCAAGAGCCTTTTTGGAAAAAATTTAATTCCTCCTCTCCAGCACAGACATGCATCTTTCTTTTAGTGTGTCTGATTTCAGGGTTGTAAGCCACTTTTCAGTATTTGAACAACTATTCCTATGCATAATATATTAAATCGAAAATTTGATTTAAACTTCTAAAGTTACTCGTAAAATTCAGAGTGGTTGAAATTTAAGTTTAGAGATTCGAAATTGTTTCCACACGCTGCGTTTTAGAAACTGACAAACGCACTTTTTCCGTCTTTGTACAGCTCAAGATTAACAGTTCAACAAATCGCGTTAAAAGCACACGAGCGTACCAAGAGCTTTCTTTTAACTCTAGGTAGGCGGATGTAGTTATTTAATATCAGCACTTGAGCACCAGGCTGTGTTTTGAATACAATCAACACCCGTTCACATGGTCTCCCTGGCTCGTCAGTAAGAGTTCATTGTGTTCCTTTATTGCTACATCACATTTTAATTCGACTTGGAATACATGGGGTGGAGATCCGTGGTTTTATAATGGTGTCCGAACTGTGGAAATAATCTATACTATTTAATATGCAATGACATTTTATTTGTTAGTCAAGTTTTTACACTTGGAATAACGATAAAAAACTTAGCGTGGTCAGCCGAAAATAAAAACTGCTACTTCAACATAACATATTGCACTGATCTCTATTTCAGGAATTGATTTAGTGTATTAATTAAAGTGTAAGTCATAAATGGGTCTGATATTCGGCAGCACTTGATTCTCATGACAATTTTGATTCTGCCATCCGCTTTTGTAACATAGAGGTAATAGGTAAACATATTGATTGCAACGAGCTCTGTCAATTCTAGTTTCACATAATGTAGGCTGACTCTCGGTGTCAAACAATAAAGCCTTTACAAGTTTTTAAGCATAATTGAAAAAATATTGTGCTACTTTCAACATTACTGATTTTTACTCAAAATAAATGGTTTGTATCCAAGACTCCATTAGCTTACGTTCACTTAACGCTCGAATATACTTCTTGGATTAAATTATTTGGAAACGTTAAAATTGTCTTTCATGTCATTTTTGTGATATCGGTTTAGAATGACATGTCCTTACTTACATAGGAATTAATTAACTACTATGTAAACTGACGGGTGCACGAATTTTACATCTTTTAAATACTTTTGGGCCAAGGACACCGATCAAAGAATTGTAATGCACCTAGCGAGCGGAGACCTAAATAGGTAGATAACTGTTAGTCCGGCCCTCTTAGATAACCACACCATCATGGTAAGCTACTAGGCACACAATAGGATAACTGGAAGAACCGGATGTATTCCATAATACTGCATACAAATTCAGAGGGTTAGAGCTTCGGGAGAGTTTGAGCAGGGGAAAGGGATGGTCGCGAGGAGGGTCGGCGTTACCCTCAGACTCACGGGCGTGCCTTGGGGAAGGCGAGAGTGCGGGAGGGAAGAGAAGGACAAAGAACATGCCAGACCGGTGAGCGTGGATCGAATGGCGCGCGTTATAGAGTTAATACTTAATTAATGCGCCAGATGTATCCATAATCTCTTACGATCTAGAAAAAGCAAAAGATTATGTTAGGTAGAAGAAATTTTGCACGTCTCTGCCACTAACAATTTAGAACTAAATAGCTTTTGCCAATAAATGCGGATGTTATATAAGAGCCCCAAACTAGATTTTAGTTTCAAAATTGTAGATGGAGTTTTTTTGTTTGATCATTAGGAATTTTGACAAATTTCGCTCTTAAAACATATTAGGGATGAAAAATGTCTTGAAAACTGCTTACTTATCTTTTGTCTAATTCCATGCTTTATTTGCATTAAATTAAAAATAAGTGTACTGCATTAATAAGAAAAATTAAAATCAGCAGTAAAATTAATTAAGTGCTGTTTTGGATTTTTAATTTGAAAAATGTATTTCTGTCAAAAATGGACATGTGTGCTAATGGACTATGAATGCTCTTAGAACTATGCTCGGTTTAAATTCAACGAATGACTTACATCTTGGGTGGCTGGGAAGACACAGCTAGTTGCGAAGAAGGTTATAAGCTTGCACAAATAAGCATCTCTTAAACTAACATTTTAGACATTATTCACTCACCGCAATACAGATCCAGTAAAATGAATTTACAAGGTCATAATAAAGGCATAATATAAATTGTCCACAATAGTCAAGGCTTTCCAGAGAACCTATATTATTTACACAAAATAAAAACCTTCATTTAATGCAGCTCGAAGTGTTTGTAAGATAACCCTCACAATGAAATTTTATGAACCGGAAAGATTTGTGAGCTCAATGACCAGGTTCCTGTCGTTGTTATGTAATTTTTGCAAAATTACAATCAACTGACCTCAGATGACTGACTTCGTCCATGTATACTTTTTTGATACACTTACAAATATATGCGTATATTTGAGTTCTAATGTTTAATTAGTTAATAATTACTTAAGTAGTCTGTTATAATCGAGTTTATGAATAATATAATGTAGGTTAGCATCGCTCGTAAAAACCTCATTTTGTATATATTGGGGACCCTTATCCCACCTGAACAATGAATAATAAACAAGTTAGACCCAAATCATTAACAAAAACTGGTGTAATGGGGGGCAACGTGATTGGATTTCAATAATATCTGGCAGATATTTTTTATATTATATTGTCATAAATCTAATTAAGCGGGCGAGTCAAACGTTTTGTCATCATCAAATAATGTACCCGTGATTAAAACACAAAAAGAGTAATATCTGTGTCCTTCGATGTTGGTATGGTCGATTTCTCAAATCATTCCCAAACAGCAAAATGTTTGTTATAATTATGTGAATTCAAACAGATGGCCCAATCGTGAGGTGTGATGTTTTTTCGTAGGGTCGTTTCTCGATTTTTGATTTGCCGATGTGAGCGGTTTGTTGTTGTCTTTAGTGCATATTATTTAACTTACGTATGGTCTTTTCGAGTTATCAGACTTATCCTTTATTCCTCACGGGGAGGTGACTCTATGTTAGTTCTTGATTATAAGAAAAACCTTTTGTTTTTTTTTGTGTCTTTATTGTTATTATGTTGTAAACTTAATATACACTCTTTCAAATTCTTTATTTGCGTGGTGATGCGGCGTTATCGTTGATCCTTTATTTACAACTAAATTTAATTGTCTAGTTTATGTTTAGGCCAAAAAACAGATATGTAGAGACATGGTCACACCAATTGTGAGGTATTTTGCTCCGTTATCCCCGGTAACTATATTTTTTTCATCATTGCTTAAGAGAATACATTTCTATTGCTTTGTGCTTTGTGATATTTGTATTTCTAATACACGTTGGATAATTAGAGGTTTTTTTTAAACACATTTGGGTTGATGCTTTAGAACTTTCTTATAGGATTGTTTCTTAAAACCTATGCTAGATTACTTTTGATGAGTAGACCAGTGGGTAAAAAGTTAAGGTAAGGTCTTACTGTATGTTGAGTGTTTACAACATTGCCTATTTATCCGATACTCGTTAGTGAGTAGACCCTAATATCGCTGAAGATGTCTTTTAATTCAGTACTTATGTTAATTGGCATTACAAAGTAATTAATCATTACATCCCACTGTAAAAATTTAGAACTTGTAAATGCTACGTTATCTTTTATTGGCGCATTAAACTCACATCTTGTAATATTGCGGTCAAAGCATTTTGCACTAATTTTCGCCTAAGCAACACGCATCTTTTAGCTCTAATTTAGTTATTGTTAGTATCGTGATTGCATATAATCATTAAAGTGAGGCGCTTATAGCCTTAATTTGCTTACTTAATGTGCTACCAAGCCTTGTAATTTTGTGTTTACAATTTCTTATAGTTAAGCCACTCGTACGTTTCTTGACTTTATTCAAACTTTATTTGTAGTACAAAAATAAGTTACTTTTTGAGAATGGGATTTCTCTGTGTATCCCTGTGTCGACAGGCACTATGGCTGGTCATGCACTACACTGGATTGTAATCAGTTGTGTTTGATTTCGATCCAACATAAGTAGTTTGTTTGGCAAACGTTATTTGATGCTTACTTATTTGTTAGGTTCGGGCTGTTGTTTTGTGCACTTCCGCATCACATGTCACCAGGATTTTCCCATGTTACAGTTGCAGTAGCAAATCGTGTCGCCTTGTTTATCTTGAATGCATTTTGTTGTTTTAGGCGTATCCTTCCTAATTTACTGAAGCCGAGAAAAATATTCGCTCTTGTGTGTGCTGTGTCCCTTTTCTTCCTCGTCTATACCTATTTCGGGAACGTTAGTGTAAGCTGGTCCCCCTTTTTGTCTTATTATTAAGCAATATTTATGCTTTATGATGCCATATGAATAATGGAGTTGCTAAATTCCACCATTTAAACCAATATATTGAAGCCGACATTGCCATATTTTTTTCTTGACAGCATCACCCCAATCGTTCTGCAACTAGATAACTTCGTTATCTAATTACTTCTTAATGGTTACCTAGTTGAGAACACAATTTTAATCAGTCGTTATGTGCGGTTAATGTCTCTCATCATTTATTTTGTCAGTCGCCCATTATTATTTTCTTCTTAATAACGTTCCCAAATTCAACGTATCTTTCTATTTTAACTGGTACTTTAATCCTGCTTGTAGTTTTTAGCTAACGCCAAGCAATGATATTCATTGGAAAAATAATTTGTTTGCTCTGAATTGGCTATGTTTGAGGTGAATTTTAGTCTAACTGTAATTTCATAATTTCCGCAAGACATCTTTACTGAAAACTTTATTTAGCGTTTAAAACAGTATAAGGATGACCAGATTCCTGCATTTGGTCAAAAGACCAATGAAACACCCTCCGGTCTGGGTATTTCCGGGTTCTCTAAAAGTAGCGTTGACCCGGAATACCATTTCCGTCGGCCCGGAGCTGCCGGTCAGTGGGAACAATCGATCCCTTTGGATAAAATCGAAATCCCCGAAAAGGAATCTTCATCCCAACGATCTCCTAAAAAAGTTACTCCAATTAAACTGCCAGTTGTGACACTTGAGGAAATTAGGGGCGCGCCTAACACAAATTCTGCCGACTTAGACTTGGCAAAAAAGAGAGAAAAGGTGAAAGAGGTGGGTTCTATTGTTTTCCTCTGTATTATTTGTGCAAATGTTGTGCCAAGATTTTTTTTGCTTTGGAATCCTGCTGGATAACTGCCATCTATAGTCTAGCTGTTTGCATGATGTCCTTTTCCTCTCGGTCGTATCTCTGGTCGTATTCTTTCTTACCTTTGTTTAAAGGCTGGCTTTATTTGTAGTTCGAAATTAGCTGGGAAGGAGTCTTTTTTGGATGTGTCTTAAGCTATTATCCTTGAAGTACAGTTAGCGCAAATAGCCACATTGTGGAGAAGTTGCCTCCCAGTTCACATCAAACATGGGAATACCTTTTTATTCAACAAGCTAAGCCAGTGGAAATCTATGCAAGTTTGTGGTTGATCACTGGAGGCCAAAGACGCCCCGTTGCTTGTCGGTCGTGTGGTAGTGGGTTAACCGGTAGCCGGTTCCACTCCACTAACACTTGAGAAAATGTACCTGAGTTGTGGCAGTTCGAAAGTGGTGCATAATTGGGGTAATGGGTCGCTTTATTTTGTTATTTTATTGAACGATGCTTGTCACTGAGACTACGCTTACGTTTACCGGTTTATTTCACCATTAATTGAGCGAAGTCTGGTGCTTTGCTGTAATTTGTGGTTCTACTTAAAATTTTACCAAACCAGGCTTGTGCGTCTTCTGAATTCCTGAGCAACAGGTGTCTCATCTGTGTTATTTAAGATGACAAAACATGCGTGGAAGAATTACGTCAAATACGCCTGGGGTCACAATGAACTTAAGCCACTGTCCCTGACGTACCACGACTCGGACATATTCGGTCGTGTTCCCTTGGGTGCTACTATCGTGGATTCGATCGACACCCTGTACATCATGGGATTGGAAGAAGAATACAAGCAAGCCGCTAACTGGATCCGCGACAAGCTCGATTTCTCCAACGCGGTAAGCCTTGTTGTCTGCAGATAAAGGTTCATTTAACTTCATCAAAATGTTTGTTATGTTTTCTTAATTGTTGTTGCTTGACGAACCTCTATTCTATTAAAGTTGAGTCATCATGGCACCAGCATGTGGTCTTCTTTGGGGTTCGTGCTTTGTCATTTTAGGTTGAAGTTTTGACAGCATCTTCCTTTTCTTCCGTTGAACGTTGTTGCTACTTGAGTTTGTTATTGCACTATTGTTGAGCTGGGACCGTATCCTCTGCTAAGATAATGTACTGGAGTAATCTATTCACTTGCCCTAAGCAAATGCTTGTTTTTTCAAATCAATTCGATTTAATTTAGGTACCAATTCGAGCCTTTTTTAGTTCCTAAGCGCTTTAATACACTTCCAATTATTGATTTTTTGGAGCATTCGCGGACGCAGTTATGCATGAGGGAGTATTTAGCGTAGCGTTTAGTCTAAATTCTAATGGTCTTATTTATGTCCATCTTCCCTACCCTTAAGTGTCAGTTGAACCATGACCAATAGTATGTTGAGGGCCCCGGCATGTTGTCTTGAACCATGCCGGGGCCAATGCGATTATCTCGGCCCAATGCGTTACCCTGCG